GCTTTTGCCGCTGAGCTAAATCCCCAGCCCCCTACATTTATTTCTTATAACACTCTTTGTTTCTGTCTTGTGTGACTTCGTGTCACCCAGTTCTGTTCCCCTTACTGTTGGATTGTCCTGACGGATTGTCAGTTCCCTGTGACATACAAAGATTTTTTTTTTCTAGCAATTTGACTGTCAGGGGCTTTCTCAAACATCTTGGGCCCCAAGTAGCAGATCTGTTTTGGTCTACCTCACCAACATTTGACTTGACTCACAATTTCATTCTATTCTCATTTTCAGACTTTTTAAATGTCCGATGTTATTCTCCATGGCACATGAAATATCCAAGGGCTTTTTTGGCCTCATGTTTGTCTCTGCTGTCAGCTTGTTTTTCTGTGAGGAGAAAACCATGCAGCACAATCTTGGGAGGAAGGCAAACAAAGCAAACATCCTGGGTTGTTGGGCTTTTCCTCCAAAGCAAAACAAAGCTGTTAAGACAGGGCTCCTAGGACCAGACTGCTAAATTCACCTGTTCCATCCACCACGACATACTGTGCGATGTTGGGAAGAAAAGCTGATCTCTCTATGTCGGGCTGTTATCATCTGCTGAATGAGAATAATGACATCCAAAGCTCACTGGGTTATTCAGTCAGTTCCTGTATTTACAAACCTAAGACCGGTATCTGGCACAGGGTCAGTCCCAGGAAACTTTCAGGTTCAATCATCATTTTTCTTGTATCACAAAGTGTAGGTTATTGTGAACATTTCTTTTTTGTGTGTTCCTGTTGTTGTCTTTTCAAACAGGGTCTCAATACTTAATTCAGGCTGGCCTGGAATTCACTGTGTAGCCCTCACTGGCCTCAAACTTGCAGTGATCCTCCTGCCTCAGCCTCCTGAGTACTGGGTGCAAAGGCAATTCTTGACAAAAAAGGCATGGCGGGGGCATCACAATCCCTGACTTGGAATTATATTATAAAGCCACTGTGATTACAAAGACACAAGGTAGTTGCCAAAAAACAAAGCACAAAACAAAACAAAAAACAGACCCGAGGATCAGTGGAGATTGGAAGATGCAGAAACAACCCTAGCTGTACTTAGCCTCCTTATCTTCGACAAAGGTGCCAGACACCTTCACTAGAAGAAAGGTGAATATGTTTGTTTCACAAATGCTATTGATTACATTTGCCTGTTTGCTTATCCATTTAGCAATTTTGGATTGTATCCTGACACATTATAGAGACCATTCTGTTACATTTCTCTCACAAGAATGTAAAGTAATATAGAATATCTTCCTTTCAGCAGTTAATTTGGCTCAACTCAAGCTCCATAATCTAATTGGCAGTTGAGTAATTTTAGGTTTAAATACACAGATTGCTTGGCACCTGCTCTATGTATATGTGTGTTCTGGCATCAGCCATAGACTTGAAAAAAATTATGCTTAAAAAGTGAGGCACCATTTTTAGCTGTTTTTTTTTTTTTTTTAAATCACAGCTTTCTCATTACTTTTTAGCCTTTCCTACTACCCTAAACTATTTCTTGTGTCTCTTCATCTCCTCCCCTCTATCCTCCTGCCTCTGCCTCTCCTTCTCCTTCTCCTCCTCCCTTTTTCTCTCTCCTCTCTCCTCTTCTCCCTCCTCTCCTCTCCTCTCCCCTCCTCCCCTCTCCTCTCCTCTCTTTCCTTTCCTCTCCTTCCTCTCCTCTCCTCTCCTCCCCTCTCCTCTCCTCTCCTCTCCTCTCCTCTCCTCTCCTCTCCTCTCCTCTCCTCTCCTCTCCTCTCCTCTCCTCTCCTCTCCTCCCCTCTCCTCCCCCTCTCTCTTTCCCTCTCTCTCAATTTTTTAGACAGGGTTTCCCTATTCAGTCCAGGCTGGCCTTGAACTCATTCTGTCTGTAGCCTAGGTTTGCCTCGAAATCACAATGATCCTCCTGTCTCAGCTTCCCAAATTCTGGGATTACAACCTTGTACCACCAGGCCTTTCTTGCTTTCCTTTTGACCGACAGAGCTGCAGAGATCTTTCTCGGCTTGAGTCATTTTGCCTGATGTTGCCCACAGCTTGTCTTCAGGGTCGGAGTGATTTTTTAAAATGGAAAGTCACCCTTCTTCCAAGAGTCATCCTGCTTTCCCAACCTGCTTCCTTTTAGTCACTAATTAATGAACCCTAATAAACTCAACACATAGTCATTTTTTATGTTTTTCTAGGCGACGGTTATTTTGAGGGGAGACGGCTCAGCTGGACTGGTCCAGGTGTACCAGAATCAGAAAGTGCCCTTTTCCTTTTCCTTCAGTTGCAGTGTTTTAAGCATCACATTTTTCTATTTTTATGTCATTGATCCTATGTACTTCACTGCCTCTTGATTTTGAGCCATAGTTAGCTTTTCTCTTTGCCTCCATCCTAGAGAGAAAATCTGTGCTTTTTTCTAATATTTACATGGATGGATCCATTTAAAAATGTATTCATCTCTCTGCCCTTGTCTGTTCCACTGCTCTGTCTATGATTAAGCTTAACAGATGATTATAGACCCTGCTACTCCATATCTAACTGCTTCTCACACCTAGCTGACGCAGCAAGTTCTTTTCCGTTTAACTTTTACTATCAAGTTATGTGTTTGTGAGGGGAAGTCGGTAATTATGTTTACTTGGCTCTTTGAATTTTTAAATAAATTGAGGAGAATTGATAACTCTAATGTTCAGATATCTTCTTCAAGAATATAAAATGCTTCCTGTTTTTTGTAGTATGTATATTATTTGCCCAATCATTAAAATTATAAACTTGCTGGTTTGTGAATAAAATTTTCTGTTCCTTCATCTACTCTGAATATATCTGTGCATACACTTATGTATTTTACATCTTTTACCCTTTTATTTATTTAATTTTTGGAGTTGTGGTTGAATCTATGATTTCCTAAAAATCAGTCAGGTGCTACTCCCCATCCCCCATCCCCAATGGCTACTGTCTTTTTTATTTTAAAGAGAGTCATAAAAAAAAAAAGAAGAAGAAAAAAGAAGGAAAAAAAAGAACAATAGGCTACTGCTTTTTTGTTTTCTACCTTGATACTCTCGTAAAGTTTTCTCTCATTTGAATGAGTTTAATATTAATTTTTGAGGGAATGTTAATATGCTAATATGTCATTAGTGGATGTAATTTCATTTTGTTTAAAATTTCATGCTTATTGATTTTCTTTCATATAATTAAATTGACTCATACATACGAGAAAATGTTAATTACCAATTACAATAGTGGTTTTCCTGGTTATGTTGCTGAAGAATTTCTCTATAAATAAAGTGCTTGGATATGTGTTTCTTTCTGCTGTGTTTGTATATATACTATACATATTTTGCATGTTTACATATACATAGTATGTATAAAACTACACTAAGGAAATTCATCTATTGCTACTTCTTTTAGTGGTTTATAAAGATCATAGTATTGACATTTGTTTCAGAGTTTTTTTTAAATTTTTGGTGCTGGATATTATACGCAGGGCCTCTGACAAGCTAAATTAATGCTCTACATTTGAACAATATCCCCAGGCTTCAAAGGCTGTGTAGAAAATTTCATCACAGGAAACTGTCAAATAGATTCCCTCTTAAAATCCTATAGTGAGTTTAATAATACAATTTATCATATTGAATTATCCTTGTATTCTTATGTCTCATGTGATCACAGAATCATATTTTCTTAATCTCATGTTTCCACTATAATTATTCTGAGCCATGAATTAGGAGGGAGAATGTTTTATATTTCTAATAATAAACCAGAAATGTAGCCCTGTATTTATTATTGGTTGTAAAACAAACATATTTTGTAAGAACATGAAGAATGCACAAATAAAATTGCCTAAAATACATGGTTATCTTTGAGAAGAGCAGTAATATTATAAGTGAGATATAGGTGACAAAGATTAATTTGTTTCTCTGTAGCCTTAAGACTACTTTGCTACTTGTGATATGCACATATTAATTCACAAATCTGGAACAATAAATTATTGGGAAAATGATAAAAATTCCTATACATTTCCAAGGAATCACTAACAACTACAATCCCTGGCATATGCTCCTACAAAACCACTGATATCTTCCAGTCACGGCTTATTCACATTTTGTTATCATATTTATGTGTGTTTCTTTCATATTAGACACTGTGGCTTTGGGAGCATATCTCTGGCAAATTGTTCTGAGCATCAACAACCTGTTCTGCCATATAGTGGCTGTTCAAGAAAAATTTTAGATGTGACAGATAAAGGTTTACCTTGTGGATTATACCTAGGCCATGCTAGTGAAGGATTTGGGAGACAGACTGAATAATGGATCATCTGATGTGGCTATGTGAGCATAAAAATACACACGCCAGGCTTGAAAGCCTGAGCGGTTATTTTGAGCTGGCTGGTATGGACTGTCCTCCCAACAAATGTAATCATTATGCTCAGAAAGAGAGTTCATTGAAGAGAAAGAATTCCTATCAGAGCTGGCAATATTGGAACGATCTACACTGAGTTTTAACTCCATAGCTTTCTGAACAATTGTGCTCAACAACTTCTTCCTGTGAGCCCATCAGAATGACTGCTGGTGATTTCATCTTGAAGCTACTTTTCCTGGCCCAGACTGGGGTTGGGGTGGCAGGGAATACCCTTCTTCTCTCAGTCTATGCCCCTACATCCTCTACTGCCCATGCACCGAGGCCCACGCACCTGATTCTCACCCACATGGCTGTGGCCAACTTCTTGGTTCTTTTCTTCAAGGGGATTCCCCACACGATGTTAATCTGGGGAATAACACCCATCCTGGGAAACACGGGATGCAGACTTGTGTACTATATCCACAGAGTGGCCCGGGGCCTTTGTCTCTGCACCACTTGCCTCCTGAGCAACTTCCAGGCCATCACCATCAGCCCGAGATCTGCAAGGAGGATGGGGCTCAAAGACCGAGCTCATAAGGACGTCAGTTTCTCCTGTGCTCTGTGTTGGATCCTGAACTTGCTGATAAATACCTTCATTCCTGTGCATATTGAGGGTCTTCAGCATATTCACAATTCTACCAAGATACAAAGCTATGGACTATGCTCTTCTAAAAGTCCTAGAACAACTGATGCAAAATTACCAATTATCCTGACATTGCCAGATGTTGTGTTCCTAGTACTCATGGCCCGGGCAAGTGTCTTCATGGTACTTCTCCTATACAGACACCGCCAGCAAGTGAAACATATTCGAACTCAAGGGAATTTCCACAAAGTTTCCCCGGAGGCAAAAGCCACTCAAACCATCCTGCTTCTAGCGAGCACCTTCATTTTATTTTACTCCAGCAATTCCATCCTCACAATTTATAATGTTGTTGTTTTAAAATTTTACCTCTGGCTGCAGCACACTATTAGCTTTCTAGCAGCCTGCTATCCCACACTTGGCCCCCTGATACTGATGCTTCAAGATCCTCAAGCACCAACTTGCTGCTCTTAAATGGTGAAAATGAAATCTCCAATTATTGGGTGTCCCATTTGTTTTTACTGGCATATGTTTGCCAGTGTATTTCATAATCAGTTTGACTTCCCCTCACTTCCTGCTGCTCCCCGTCCCCTATTCCAGACCCTCTTCTCATTTCCATGAAGTTTACCTCACTGTTTCCTATCATGTTTCTTTTATTTTGCTCCTTAAATTATCTGTACTTTGGGGTTTCCTGTGTAAGAAAATCCATACAATATTTTACCTTCTCTGTGTGATTAATTTCACTTAACATGATGGTCTCAAAATCCACCCATTTCCCACAAATGATTCAAATTGAGCCTTCTATATTGCAGAGCTCTCTCTATCATCTACTTATCTCTCATCTCACACTTTCTTCTATTTAGGTTTTTTTTGTTTTTTTTTTCCCCCGGTACCGGGAATCGAACTCATGATCTTGCGCTTGCCAGGCAGGCTCTGTGCCTCTGAGCTAAATCCCCAGCCTCCATTCTCTTATTTAGGGACATACAGACTGCTCACAAAACTTAACTATTATGAATTGTGCTGCTGCGAACATGGATATGCATGTATCACTGTAATATTATATCTTTAATTCTTTAAGGAGACTACCCAGAAGAGGTGGATATCGGTCAAATGAAAGTTCTGTTTCTTAGGTTATTGTAAAATTTCCGTGCTGATTTTCACAGCTGTAAAAGTTTACATTCCCAGTGACAATATAGAAGTGTTCATTTTGCTCCACAGCCTTGCCAACATTTGTTGCTTTTTCGAGTTCTTGATGATAGCCACTGTTTGTGGAGTTAGATGTAATCACAGTGGTGTTTTGATTTGCTTTCTTGGGCTGAGGATATAGCTCAGAGGCACAAACACCTGCCTGGCAAGAGCAAACTACTGAGTTTGATTCCTGTTCCCCACACCAAAACAATCTACAGTGCAATAATAGATTTGCGTTTCTCTAATGGCTAAAAATACTGAACGTTTTAATGTGCTTACCAGTTACTTGTACTTTTCAGAAGTGTCTATTCATTTAAATTGCCTATTTTTGATTATTTTATTATGGGGGTTCTTTTAAGTTTTTGGACTTTAAAAAATATAATCAAGTTATTGATCCTCTATGTGAGGAATAGCAGGTAATTTTTTTCCCATTTTGTCACTTGTCCCTTTATTGTTGGCTGGATTTTTAATGTTCAAATATTTTTAGTTTGATATAATCCCATTTGTGGATTCTTGGCTCTATTTCTTGTGCAATTTAGATGTTGTTCAAAAAAATTCTTCCTGTGGTACTCTAAAAACAGATATTAGAGTACATTCAAAATGAAGGACATTGCCTATTCTGGATAGGAAGAGCAGATATCAACAAAATGATCATATTGCAAAAAATGATGTATAGATATAAGGCAATCCATACCAAAATACCATCAACACTCTTCACAGAACTAGGAAAAAACTCCTAAAATTATACGAAATCAAAAGGTACCAAGAACAGGTCAAGGAATTCTGAGCAGCAAGAACAAACCAGGAGGCATTACAATCTAGGTCTCAAATTATGCACAAAGCTACAGTGATAAAATGCAGCATGGTACCGTTAAAAGCAGACATGTTTATCAATAGAATAGAATTGAGGCTGCAGACATAACTTCAGACACATTGAGACATCTGATTTTTGGCAAAGGGGCCAAAAACTTATATTGAAGAAAAGATAACCTCTTTAACAAATACTTCTGGGAAAACTGTTTATTCATGTGCAGAATAATAAATATAGATTCATATCTCTCTATGCTGAACTAAAAGACAATAAAATGAATCAAAGGCCTAGCTATGGAAACAGAAACATTAAATTGGCTGGAAGATAAAATAGAGGCAAGTGTTGGTTGACCCTTTTAAAACTTGTATTAGTACATGTTTGTAGGACACACATTTTACAGTCATCTTGGGTAGTTGGTGCAAGTATGTAATACAGCTTGTTTCTCTTTTTTTGTTGTTGTTTTGTTTGTTTGTTTTTGGTACCAGGAATCGAACTCAAGACCTTATGCTTGCTAGGCAGGCACTGTGCTGCTGAGCTATATCCCTGGCCCTTGTTTCTCTTTTTAAATACTCTTTCCTCCCCTGCCCTTCCTCTTCTTCTAGTTCCCCATTTGGCCTTTTCATTCTTGTTGATATTATTAGTCATAGTTCCTGTTTATGGCATATTATCAGGGACTTGGCCTGAGCACTCAATCTCCTAAAATGAGTTGTGACAAAGGCTTAAATAAAAGAGACAAATACTTTGTTTGGGGGGAATCAGGAAGATCAAACTCTCTCAAAGGTAAGACAAGGATGTCTCTGGAAAGCCTGTATTTATTGGGTTTTCAAACAAAGGAAAAGGATAGCAAGGTAAATGCGTGAAACAGAGCAGGGCCTTGGGAAGTTTAGATCAAAGACTTCTCCAAGCAGTAAATTTTGCCAATTATGAGAACTGTCCTATCGCTAAGGTTGATGGTTACAGCAGGAGCCAAATGGCTGTAGTAGCAGTCTCATCTTAAGAATTGGAGTGAGATCCAGGTGTTATTGGAGGCTTTGTCTTGCCCTCTGTGGTATCACAGTGTCAAGGACCAATACAGGGTTGTACTATGTCTGTTGGCACGGAGAGCTGCACTTACTGCATGCCAGCTGCCACTCTGAGCAAGTTGCCTAGGTCTGAGACAGACTCATAAGTAAATATAAAGTCAGTTGATTAATTTTAAATCCTACTCGGAGTCACTTCATAGTGGTCTCCATCAACATTTTATGTCCATATTCATTTCCACTTTTAATGGCTTGGTTTTTCAAGCAAAGATGAATGGATAATCAGAAGATGAATGATGTATAACCAGCATATAGACATAAAAGGATTGGAATGATATTGACTGAGTCATGTTTAGGATTTTCACTTCACTCAGAAGGAAGACATACAAGGAAATAAATGGTGTGGGGAGCAGCTGAAGCTGAAGATTGACTACAGGAGCAGGGCTAAAGCAAGACCAGCCCTGAGAACATGGAGCACCTGAGGCAAGCCATGTGAACAAGCCGCTCCAGCTCCAAGAACTTAAGGCACCCCAGGCAAATCAGGCAAACAAGTTGTTAGGCAGAAGGGTTTCAACTGACATCAACCTCCTGAGTGTATAAATAAATGCACTGCAGTCGTTGGGCAGTTCTTTTCTCCCATCAAGAAAGAGGGCTCCACTTGACCTCAGCTTTCTGCATTCTGACTCTTGTCTCCATTTCTTCATCCTCCACCATCCTTCTCCCCAGGAAATTCAAGAGCTTCTCTGGATGGGGCAAAACAGAATGCTATAAAATAGCATTATACTTTTTCCCTTTGAAATATTTGTGGACCCATGATGATAATTTTGTAAAGAACTAATTTTGAGATGTGTTGCAACTTCAGTGGTTTATTCTGACAATTATTAAATTAGATGTAGTATTGCTTATTGAAAATCATTAATGGCTTTTGCGCCATCCAGTACTATAACCCATGGGAAATCATTTTATCATTGAAGATTTTTAGGTTTTTACTTCTAAAGTTTGTAAATTTTGTCCGCAATTACTTTGCAAAAACAAATGAGGTGCTTTGAAAAACTTTCAGAATTGCAGAGAGAAGGTATCTTTTGACCCAGTTTTCCATACAAGCAATATACATATTCACAAAATTATCAAACTTTTACAATTAGAAATTAAGCAAAAGATTTCAATAAATTTTTGACACCCCCCCCAGTAAAAACAGTTGGATGTGTGTATTTTTAACTTAGTCCATTGCAGTTCTCCTCTTCTCAGCTTTACACTTAGGTTGTTCATTGAACTCATGGCCTTGTGGGCAAGAGCTCTACCACTGGGCTCCATCCCCTAATCAGGAGCTTTACAAACACAAAACTATGAGACTATGGAACTTTGAAACTATGAGAGGACAAAGGAGCTTGTAGATCCTCCCAAATCCATCCTTTGAGCAATGTGATTACGTAACCTGCAGGTAGCTCCGTGGTGAAGCTCCATTTGTTGTCCTAACTCATTCTTTGACAGAATTCACAACTCACTTGAAAGAAAATGCTATGCCAGGGAATTAGTAAAAAACCAATCTTATTCCATTGCTTAACATCGCAGTAAGACTTCAGGATCTATTGAGGCAAACTAAAGGCTTGCCAAACAGTTTAAAGAGACGTCAAAGTAAGTTGTTCATAGAGAGCTCTTAACTGCCTCTGACATACTCTGGAGCATGCAGAAAGCCTAAACTATACCAATTATTGCATAGATCCAAGAGGGCATTGGTCAGCTTCCTATGGTTGACCTTGAGCCATGCAGAACAATGAAAAGAAAGCAAAGGTTCACTTATAATCTTATGACCATTAAAGTAGAACCCTGACACATACCCTGTCCTTGTCAAAGGGCACAAGACTTACTGGCTCAAAGTAAGTAAAGAAATCTCTGTTCAATCTAAGCTACCCAGGAAGACTCCAGTGACTGCACAGTACAGGGAATATAGACTTTGTAAAGTAATTTAGGAAGGCCATAAAACAAACTGCAGGAGCATCAATAAATGTTGGGTGAATCTCATTTTCAAAATAGTCCAGCTTCATCAGAAATTTGGGATACATACACACAGTCAAATAAACATGGCCCCAAAATAGGTGGAAAGGTATGTGGGACAGACACACTGACTGATTTTTCCTCTGCTGTTAGACCACAATCCACACAAATAATTTCTTTTTTTTTATCTTTTATTTTTGTTTGTTTGTTTTGTTTTTCTCCAGTACCGGGAACCAAACTCATGACCTTGCGCTTGCCAGGCAGGTGCTTTGCCGCTGAGCTAAATCCCCAGCCCCCACACAGATAATTTCTTATGACCGTAAAGGATGTGAATACTTCCATCAGCATGCAAGCAATTCTGCAGCAGAAGACAAGAAGTGGGGATAATAAAACTCAATTCAGTTTTGACTGATGCTATTTTGGCACCATATCCTACAATTTGAATTTAGACTCCTAAGAGT